TTGTAGATCATAAATCATTTCCTCTAAAATTTATTATCTTTATAACTATCTTAACTAATTTCTATGTATCTACTCAATTTTATTTTCTAATCATTTATAAAATAAGTCCCATATCATATAATATTCAGTTTCTTCTTTTTCTTTAATTTCCACTATTAATCTATTCAACTCTGCACATTCAAATATTTTCTCAATCACCTTTCCCTCTTCTGGTATTTTATCATTTTTCCAATTCTGTGCAAATACAATCCTAACTGCTGTTAATATATGTATAATTAAATATGTTTCTTCTTTATTATAACATTCAGGTACCATCCCCAGTAAAAATATTTCGGGTTTCAAATCTATATGTTTCTTTATATTTTTTTCCAACCATGTGTGTCCTTGTCCAGTATCTTTTAGCTTCTATGCATATCCACCACATATGGTAATATGTTCCAGGTTCATGGTGACACTTCTAGCATTTGGCTGATTTATCTTTAAACATCTTTGCCAGTTTTGCTGGTGCAAAGTGCCATCTGTAAAACATCTTATACAAGTTTTCTTTATATGCTGTCGATATTGTTAATTTATAATTTCTTTCTCATATTTTCTGCCACTTATCTAATTCTATCGTGTACCCAAATTTTTTTGCCCATGCTATCATTGTTTCCTTTACTTGTTCTTCTTCTAGTTTAACAACTAGTAAATAGCAATACAATTTTTTAATCAATTCATCTTCTGTTCCTGTTAGTATTTTATCCAGCTCTGTCAATTCCTTATAAATAGCTTCCTCTTTTACATCTTTTTCATATCTTGATTGTATTTGCATATATGAGTACCAATCCATATTGATTCTTTGTTTGTTCAGTTTTTGTTTGGTTTTGAGCTCACTCTTTTCATTTAATATATCCTTATATCTAACAATAGTTCCCATTTTACCAATATTTGGGTGTACAAATGCTTCCATTGTTTTTGTAGTGTTTTATTATTCAAGGAATGAAGCTATGCCTTAAAACTGAAGGAACTGCTGACCTTCAGATGGTAGCTGAACTCATAAGCGTTTCTTTCCTACAAACCTTTGTTCTGGTAGGGATGTAAAGTTCATCGGTGTATTCATTTCTCATATTTTTCTTGCGCATCCTCTGTAACTCTAGTTTCTCCTGCTCTGGTTGAAAACAGGAAATCCTTCTTTGCTATAACTAAGGATGGTGATTAAGGCTGTAGAACTTTACTAAGTCCAGGTTAAATCTCATTTAGTATATTGAGGCTAGCTTCTGCTTTCTAAAACAAGCTAATTAAGCCAAAATCTATTACAGGTAGTCCTCGACTTATAATAGTTTGTTTGACCATTTGAAGTTACAATGGCACTGAAAAAAAGTGACTTATGACTGTTTTTCACATTTATGACTTATAATCGCTGCAGTATCCGTATGGTCACATGATCAAAATTTGGACACTTGGCAAAACTGGCTCATAATTATAATGGCTGCAGTGTCCCGGCATCCTGTGATAACCTTTTATGACCTTCTGAGAAGCAGAGTCAATGGGGAAGCCAGATTCACTTAACAACCATGTTATCTGTCAGGATTCCGGCAGTTACTCCAATTAAATCATGAGCCTTGAGCCACACTTCCAAAACTTGAAAGGATTTATTAGAAATTAACATACCGACATTAGCTTGGGCGTACCCGACTCTGAGATATGTAATTCACTGTGACCCTTGATCCTGCTTTTCCCCCCACCCCTCTGGGTGTATCATCCAAGGAAACACATCCATAGCCAAGAGTCATCAATCATGCTCTCCAGTTAGATATTTGCATGGCAGAAGCTTCAGTCATCTAATCAGTCTCTGAAGAAAATATGAATGGAATGTGCTTTTGATTCCACACTGCTGCCTGCTCTTTGAAACTCCCCCCCCCTTTTCTTTCTGTTGACAACTTTAAAACTTGTATACAAAATATTTTATGAGTTGACAATGATTCACTTAATAGCTGTGGCAAGAAAGAATGTGAAATGGGGCAAAATTCACTTAACTGTCTTGCTTAGCAACACAAATTTGGGGCACAGTTGTGGTCATAAGTCGAGGACTACCTGTACTTAGTCCAGGTGAAATCCCATTCAGTACAGGTAGTCCTTGACTTACAACAGTTCGCTTAGTGACTGTTCAAAGTTACAAGGGCATTGAAAAAAGTTACTTATGACCATTTTTCACATTTATAACCATTGTACATTTGTAAAGGGTCACAATACATGCTTTTACGAATGGTTTTAATCTCTGTTTTACAGATTTATGGTGGACCACCTTGAAATGTTTTTAAGGGCAAGTGGTCTAGAAAGAAAATAAAAACACCTAGGAGATATCCACATTTTTTTTGACCATGCTGGGGCCAGCACAATAGCATCTATCTATCTAATTCAAGATTTTCATGAGGCCTTGCCCTGCTCATCATCTTGGTGATATTTTGTTTTGCTATGTCTGCCTGCTTTTATGACAGTTCTGTGGCCCAAGAGTGACTTCTTGCTGAACCTTGTAAAATGAGTTTCTGTGTCTTGCAGGAGCAATTGGGAAATTCTTAATCGAAAAGGAAAAGAAAAGCTTTTGCGCAGTGTTTGCCATTATGGCAAAGGGAGGGAAGCAATTGTGTATGGTGAGGGCAGGTGTGCGGGCATCTTCTTTGATGGGGTGATTGGGAGTGATTCACCAGCAGTTCAGAGTTCATTAGAGCTAATGGTGTCTGGGAAGTTCATCAAGTTAGTCTCACCTTCTAAAAAAAAAAAGAAAGAAAAGCTTGCAGGTTCAAGGACGGTAGGCATTACCTTCCAAGTGAGGAGAAAGTTGGCTTTTATCCCAAAGGTGCTTTTTTCAAAAGGCAAATGGATTTTCTTTGGTTTTGCTTGAAGACGTTTCACTACTCACCCAAGAAACGTCTTCAGTTCTGACTGAATGGTAGAGAATGGGAGGATTTCTATTCCTTGTGGTCTGGTCCTTAGCACTCTTCCTGAGAGTCACTGAGGCCACTTAGAGGTTTATCTGTGCCCTCAGGGTCACCTGAATAATGCAAATGGATGGGGAACCTTCTTGGAACTGCTAAAGGACTGTGTTGTAAGCAGGAGATAGGGGGCATCATATCCCTCCCCTCTCTGTTGAAAAGAGGCTGCTCAGTCTTGATGTAGATGGCCTCTTTGACCCCTCTTTCAAACCAGTGGTCCTCTCTGTCCAGAATGTCGACTTGGCTGTCTTCAGAAGGGTGACCTTTGTCTTTCAAATGCAGAGGGACTGCTGAATCTTGTCCCGATGGGTTTGTTCTCCTATGTTGTGCCGTGCATGTGTGTGAAGTGGTTGTTTTGTTACTCCAGTGTTTTATCAATTCCTGAGCCAATGTGTAATAGTTCTACAATCAGTTCCCAAATATGGCAACCATTAGAAGAAGCTGAGGTTTAGATGTCTAGAAGAATGTGGGCAAAGGGTCACCTTCACATAAACCCTTTAGACCAGGGGTGTCAAACTCAAGGCACGCAGGCTGGATCCGGACCGCTGGGTGCTTAAATCTGGAAATATCAAAGGACTGGCCCGCAATGCCTCTGCCGGCCAAAAATGGCTGCGCCTGCAGCACTCTACCAGCCAAAAATGTGTGCGACACCCCCACACAGTTTGTTTTCAGCTGACAGAGTGCTACAGGAGATATCCATCCTGTCTACACCCCCCCCACACTCCCCCCCCACCAGCTGGCAAAGGACAACTACAATGCTGATCCAGCCCTGCCTTAGACCCGTAGAGACATCCTATTCATAGGTTTTGTCATGGTATCAAGTTCTTGCTAACCCTGTAAATGGAATGGATTTTCAATTGCATTGTTTTATGAAGTTCATGGAGTGGGACCAGGACATCAGCAAGATTCTACCACCTATCTGTACTTATTACCATATTGCTAATTTTATGCAAATCTGAGCTTGCATCCCGTTTCTCCATCCAGTTGCAGCAGTGCCATTACTCACTCACTCTCTCTCTTTTTGGAATAATAGCTAGCTGGAATTTGCTTAAATGTGTTCTTAAACAGCAATAGTACTTAGACTTATTTACTGCTTCACAGTGCTTTACAGTCCTCTCTAAGTGGTTTACAGAGTCATCATATTGCCCCCAACAATCTGGGTCCTCATTTTACCGACCTTGGAAGGATGGAAGGCTGAGCCAACCCTGAGCCCATCAGGATCGAACTCCAGGTTGTGGGCAGAATTAACCTGCAATACTGCATTCTAACCACTGCACCACCATGGTCTTTTGAAGGTGCACTTGTAAGAAAACAATCTGTTGCAGAGTTACTTTAGAGGTAACTTGATTCTTTTCCATGGAAGCAGGCAATAGCAAACCATTTCTGAAATCTTGCCAAGAAAACTGCAGGGAACTGGTCCAGGCATTCACAATGAAAACTGACTTAAAGGCGCGCGCGCACACACACGCACACACACACAAAAAAAACTTGCAGCCTCATATTATACAAGTATAGTCAGGACTGTATCTCATGTCCCTTCTTGGAATTTACTCTCAAATAAATATCCATCACAGGAAGGCATAGGCTGTAACTATGACAGGGGTCTTCAAACATGACAGCTTTAAGACTTGTGGACTCCAAGAATTCCTCCTCCAATCATGTTAACTGAGGAATTCTGGGAGTTGAAGTCCACAAGTCTTAAACTTGCCAAGTTTGAAGACCCTTGAACTATGAGGTCATCTATAAGAACAAAGGTTCCACTGAGTTCTTTTGAATGAAAGCCAACTGGATGACTTTGAGCCCGTTACTCTCTCTCAGCCCAACCTACCTCACAGGGTTCTTGTAGGGGGAAAATGGAGGAAAGAGTATTATACATGTTCAACTACCTTTGGTTACTTATACAAAAATAAAGGAAGGGTAAATATCTAATAAACAGGTAAATTTGGAGAGAGTGGTTTCTAAATTAATCATCCATTAATCTTGATGGTTGGCTGGGAGCTAAACATGCCTTTTTTTTTTCTCTTCCAGGTGCAAATTTTTCAGCCTGACTGAGACGCCGGAAGACTACACGGTCATAGTGGATGAAGAAGGATTTTTAGGTGAGCTACTGCATTCCCGTTCCGTTTATTGTGGTTAGCCAGCCCAGAAGATTATAATTTATATTATTAGGCTAAAACATACAAAGAACGGTTTCTGGAATTGGGTATCTCTAGTTTAATAAAAATAAGGACTAGGGGTGACATGGTAGCAGTGTTCCCCTATTTAAGAGGCTGCCACAAAGAAAAAGGAGTCAAGCTATTCTCCAAAGCACCTGAAGGCAGGACAAGAAGCAATGGATGGAAACTAGTCAAGGAGAGAAGCAACGTAGAACTAAGGAGAAATTTCCTTGCCGTTGGAACAGTTAATCAGTGGAGTAGCTTGCCTGTGAATGCTCATCTTAAGAACACTGGAGATTTTTAGGAAGAGATTGGACAATTTGTCTAAAACGTTATACGGTTTCCTGAACAGTGGGCTGGACTAGAAGGCCTCCAGGGTCCCTTCTAACTCTGTTATTCTGTTCTGTTATTCTCCATTCCCTCTTCACCTCCAACTGATTCCCTTCAGTAGGTTTAACTGCCTTTTCAGTCCCAGCCAGCAGGTCAAAGGCAACAGGAATACATCGGAAGAGCATACCAATTTAAGCTCATTCCCCAAAACCTGCGCCATTTCAGTAGCCAACACATGCCATTAATGCAACCGTGGATGATTTAGGAAAACTCTTTTAACATTTTCAGTATTGTAGTATGAAAAATCATTAAGATAACTCTTTAAAGGAAGATTGCCCCACCCTTAATTCAGTCATTTGTTTGACAGAATCCTAATGGACAATGAGAGAGGATGGAATACAGGTAGTCCTCAACTAATGGCCACAGTTGAGACCTCTGCCACTAAGCAATTCACTTGTTAAGTGAGCCATGTCTGATTTTGCAACCTTTTTGACGTGGTCATTAAGCAAAGCATGGTTGTTAAGCAAATCCAACTTCCCCATTGACTTTGCTTGTCAGAAGCCATCTAGGAAGGCCATAGATGGCAACCATCTAACCCAGGATGCTGCAGTTGTCATACATGTACGCCAGTTGCCAAGTGCCCAAATTGTGATCACAAGACCACAAGGATTCTGTGACAGTTGTAAGCACAAGGACTGACCCTAAGTCCCTTTTTTTTCCAGCCCTGTTATAATCCTTTTTTTAAAAAAAAAATTTATTGGTTTTTAAGACAAACATAGACAAACAAAACATAAAAACATCAAGCCATCTTCCGTATATATACATACAGTGTGTCGGTTGGTTTACAAATTGTTTTGTGCTTCCATTTCGTAGTCTTCAATTACAATTACATTGTTTATATTCTCATATTTTCAATCAAATATTAAATACATTAATATCATAGTTAATCAATCATTTGACTATACTATTATTCATTCATGTTTTATGAAATAATCCATATTTTACTTAGTTTTATGACAGTTCATATTATCATCTCAAATCTATCCTACAATCATTTTGTAGATATAATAAGAAAAAAAATACATCTTTATATATTTATTATTTTCTAAGAATCTACATATTTCATTACCATGTTTTATTGTCTAACCATTGATAGAATAGATCCCAAATTTTATAAAATTGTTTATCATCTTGTTCTCTGATTTCAAATGTCAATCTACTCATTTCAGCACATTCCAATATTTTCTTAATGGTTTCCTCCTGTAATGGTATTTTCTCATTTTTCCAGTTTTTGGTAAATACAATCCTAGCCGCTGTCAATACATTTGGAATCAGATATTTCAATTCTTTACTATATATTTCAGGCAAAATTCCCAACAAAAATATCTCTGGTTTCAAGTCTATATGCTTTTAGCCCTGTTGTAATTTCAAATGGTTGTTAAACTAATGGTCACAAATCAAGGACTGCTAGTGTAGTATTCGGGGGGGGGGGGGGCAAAGTAAGTTGGCTGGGTAAACAGTAGGGCATTTTGTTTCAAATCCCACTTATCAAGTCTGTCCTAGATGGGCTCAGACAAATCTAATCATCTTCATCAGTGAGAGTCACACTTGTCATGGATGCTGCTTCACTGATTAGATGGATAGGAGAGCCTAATTGTGATGTTGAGCTCAACAGGACAGATGAGATTGTTATTACTTACCAACCTCCTTGCTGTTTCATTATCTGAGCTGGACACCAGAACCAGGCTGGTAGCTTCCTAGACTTTTTAGTCTTCAGCAGAGGTGTCAAACTCAAGGCCCAGGGGGCTGGATTTGGCCCACAGGGTGCTTAGAACTGACCTGCGGGGCCACCCTGGAAACAGCGAAAGACTGGCCGATGGTGCCTCTGCCAGTGAAAATGGAACTTGGGAGGGTCACGTGTGGCCTTCTCAAGCTCCATTTTTACTGGCAGAGGGTTGCAGGAGGACGTCGCAGCTGAAAACGGAGCTTGGGAGCCCCTTTTCATTGGTAGAGCGCTCGGGCCACCACCTGCGCCCTGGACATGAGTGATGTCGAGCTTGCCACTCCCACCCTGGCCATGCTCATCCTGGCCCTACAAGGTCAAACACAACCCTGATGTGGCCCTCAATGAAATTGAGTTTGACACCCCTGGTCTTGAGGAATTTCAACCTATCTTCTCTGGGCAGGGAATCAGAAGTAGCTTGTGAGTTCAAGCCCCTTGTGGGAGCTAGGAACCTAATCCAGGACAGCAAGGGCTCCAGACATGTCGAATCTAGTTGTAATCTTAGGGCAATTATAGTGTGATTTGGGGAGAAGATACTATTGTTCCCTTATCATGGTCAGATTCGTCTTAGTATTAGACTTTTCTATGGCTGTACCCCCCACCTAAGGAAGGAAGGACCTGTTTAATTGGTCTACCCAAGAACCTGATGGATCTAGTTGGGTTTCAGAATGAGCCTTGAGGCTGTATCTGAAATCCTAGTTTATGGATTTGAATTAGACTTTGGTTGCTTGAAATGAATGGGTAACAATGACTTCAGTTGGATGGCCCTACATGGATTACTGCTGTTCACATATCCAGGAGAGTCTCCTCAATTTTAAACGAGCTCCAAGAGATAAAACAGCTGATGGTTCTTGGCGAAAAAGGAAGAGCAAACCCAACCAAACATAGAGAACAACCTTTGTTAAGGATTTTTGACTGATTATATGCCATCAGGTCAATCATACAGATAGATTATCTCCCAAGACAATCTGTCTCCAACCTCATTCTTCACATCTTCCAACAGGTCTTCATTACCACTATAAGGGAGCCTATCCACTTTGCTGCTGGTCTTCCTTTCTTCTATTTTCTTCCATTTTTCTAAGCATTACAGATTTCTCAAGAGAGCTGGGGCTGCAAACAATTTAACCAAAATACAGTATTTTGAGCCAGGTCATTTGTGCCTTGACTAAAAACTCTGGATTGATTTGTTCTATGGTACATTTGTTTGTTTTCTTTGCTAGGATGATCATTAGATGATAACAAAAGGTTCATTTATTATTATTAAGATTGATTGCACACCCTGCCAGATGTTTAGATTTGATTTGGCATTTTTATCTACCTACTAAGTCCTTCCCAAAAAGCAGATGTTGTCTGAAGATATTAAAGGTATCATGGCAGGATGTAAGCTGCCTTTTATAATTAATTGATTAGGGTTTTGTCAGTGCCAATGGGTGTTCAAGTAGTATTCCAGATGTTTTGAGGTTGTACCCAAGGCACTTATTAATATTGGTACTATCTTTGCTTTCTTTTGTCACAGTCGTTCTCTTTCCATTTACGGGTCATTTAATTTTGTTATATTCTCCAGTTCTTTCTCTCCTATTCTGCTCTCTCCAAGTTCTGCCATGTCTGCTGTCCAGACTTTATTGTCTTTCTTATCAACAGTTGTTAAGTCTGGGTTGTTATGTGGCAGGTGCTTATCTGTTTGATTCTAAAGTCCTAGAGCATTTCAGATTCTTCATTTTGATTGCTTTCTCTATTTTGTGGTACCACCAGGTGTTGCTTGCAGGTATTTCTTGCATATATTCTAAAACAACATTGTTGCTACTTTGTCATGCCGTTGTGTGTAATCAGTCTGTGTAATCTCCTTGCAGCAGCTAACTAAGTGGTCTACTGTTTCTTCAGCTTATTTGTGGATTCTCATTGTATTTTTTATATTTCTGTATTTTATTTTGTAAGAGCCGTGCTGGCGAAGTGTTTAGAATGCAGTACTGCAGGCTACTTCTGCTGACTGCCAGCAGTTCAATTCTCATCGGCTCAAAGTTGACTCAGCCTTCCATTCTTTTGAGGTTGGTAAAATGAGGACCCAGATTGTTGGGGGCAATTTGCTGACTCTGTAAACCGCTTAGAGAGGGCTATAAAGCACTGTAAAGCTGTATATAAGTGTAAGTGCTTTGCTTTTGCTATTGCTATTTATTCAGTCTCTTTCCTGCCACCTAGTGAATATCCAGATGAATGGTCAGAACAGACTACTCACAGTAGGTGGTTTGCTTATTTGTGGATGAGTTTGTTGCACAGACACAGCTTGTGTAATTAATTTAGGATCTGGGGGGGAATGTTATGCAAATAAAGCTTATAGCAGAGCTTCGCAAACACTTAATCAAAAGGAATCAAGAATTACTTTGCAACATAAATAAACTATGGCTGGTATGGGTTCACATATTGTTCTAAACCAGTGGGTTTGGTTTTCTATGCCATGTGAACCTTGCCCTTGTAAACCATAGCTCGGAGCTTAACTTTTTGCCCAGCTCTAGCTGTGAGAAATACAATAACTATAGTGTTCCTGATATGATATTTTATGATATTACTATCATAATATTACTCAGGACATCGATATTGTAAAGATGTTAGTTTTAAACTTTCTATTTCAAAACCGTACATGGTGTATTCTTCGAAGGAGGTCTGCCATATTGTGTAGCTTTTAATGAAGTAGAAATAGCCAAGAAGGATGTAGGTCACTGCTTCTCAACCTTGGCAAGTTTAAGATGGGTGGACTTCAACACCCAGAATTCCCCAGCCAGCAATAGCTCATTGAGTCTCTTTCCCCCTTATAAGTGGCAAAATTAAGAGACCT